GTTAACTTACATTTTATAACATTTTATAAAAATGAACAACGGAGAAAATGAACTTTTTAAAGTTCATAACTTTAGTGTTTATTTTCTCTGTTGTTACAAAATATGGGTTAGAGCCCATTGTTGCAGCAAGCTCTTCAATTGGCTCACATCTTTGCCACGCCGTGACGATCGCTCAAGCAATAAATCGTAATTAACTTACATCCTTATCCGTTTTAAATTTCTTAATGACGCCGTTGTTCATCTTCTCCCCTAGAATGCTGGTCAGCTGATTGGTAGCCTGTACCTTTTGATGCATCGTGGGCTGTTGCTGCACGGCTATCGACAGCGGTGGTCTCGTGGTGGATCGCGACCTGCCGTGCTTCTCGGGCAGATCCATCAACGACTTGTCGGCAAGCCTCTCGTTCAGACCGGAGAGACGCTCCGACAGGAGGCTCGGCGACACCGTGGTGTCGACTATGCTGTCGAGCAGATCGTCGTTCTCCATCTCCCGCTTCGCCAACTGCCACTCTATCTCGATCCTCCGTCTCTCCTCCTCCCTCTTCTCCGCCTCGAGCCTCTGCCGGTGCTGGTCACGCTGCAGCATCGCCTTCGTTTCCTCCTCGAATCGGCGCACCCGCTCCTGCGTGGTCGCGCTCAAACCGGCGTACGTCAGAATCGCAATCTCGTCGTTACTCTGCTTCGTCTGGCTGCTGGACCCGCCGCTGGACACCGTGGAGCCGGTCTCCGCTGAACTCAGACCGGCGTCGATTGACAGCCGCGTGGAGTCCACGGACGGCGGCGCGGACTGAATCGCGTATTTGGCGCGATTCAACGAGGACGCGCCGCCGTGCGACGAGCCGCTGTTGTTCGCGTCGACCGACAGGGAACGATCCGCCGAGTGATTCGCTTGATTCTTGCTCTCGTGCATCTGCACGATCTCGCTGACGGAACACTGACGTTCGTTTAAGGCCATACTCTGTCGAATTGTCGGCGAGTTCTCCGATTCTTGCTTCGACTTGGCCTGATTTATTGAACATAAAATTAATACATCGATATGTAGACGAAAAATGTGTCGATTATACGATGAGTACCAACCTTATCGTTATCGTGTTCACTATTGTCGATCTCGTCCTGAGTCTTTCGTCGTCTTTGTATCTTTTTATTAGCCGCGGATATGATTGAAGATACAATGTCTCTAGCGGATGCCATGTCACGCATACCTGTTCGATTACAGTGAGGAAGAGATTAAATACATTGCTTCTACAGATAAAATATACAGCAGGATTGAACTGTTATTTTTTTTTAAGAGTGCTAACAACGACAAAACAAGTCAGTGATAAAATAAAAAAAGAACGGGATAAAGTTTGCATTTAAAATAAACATATAAAAGTATATATGGAACCCAAGTAGCAAAATGATGTCAAAAGATGTTTTAATACTCTTAATAACGTCTTTAATGCCAATAAAACGTTATTGAAACGTCACTTGACATTATCTTGCTACCTTGGGAAAATATGAGAAAAATGACTGAATATGAGATAATATATGAGAAAGTATAAATAACATACGTAGGAAATAACAGGCACGATATACCTTCGATTTTCTGAATGTTGTTTAACAGAAGACTGTGATTGGATGCTGGTTCAATATCGCAACTGTCGGTTGGAAGGCTTAAATTTACGCTCAATCTGCTTAAATCGTCCAGATCGTCCTCCGAGAAGAACCAATCGACCTGAAACACGTCGATATTTTATACCATCATTTTGTCCAAGAAGACGGAGTTTTCCTCCGTTTTTTTATTTTTCAACGAACACCTACGTTATTCAGCAGACTCTCGACTATTCTACATTGATGCGACATATCGGTGACCATAGTGACCATATTGTCTCTTGAACCGCTCGCCCGCACCAGCGTCGGTCCGAAGACGATGGCCAAATTCTTCGCCTCCATCTTGTTGATCTCGCTGTGCTCCACTATCTTCTTTAGATGCTGCATCAAATACTTCAGCGTCTCAAAGTGATGCTCCGGAAGATCTCGTAACAATTTTCGTATCGTGGTCATCCTCCTTTGCGGATCTTCTATCTTGTCGGCGTCGATGAACATGGGATACAGCTCCGCCGTGAGCAGGGAGTCGGGAAGTTGACGGAAGAACGACTTCAGCAACGACGATATCACATTAACATCGCTCCACCTCGGATCCTGGAGGAAAATAATAATAATAATAATAATAATAATTCTTAATAATTTTCGCTCGTTGTTGTAAATACAATAATTTAATAAGATTGAACGGCCAAAGACGAGCAATATAATTGGTTGTAAAAATTACTTTATTAATTAATTTTCTAGCATAAAACGCCCGAAACTAGTTTCGATCCTTACTAGGACTTTCTCAATCGCATTAATAATTAAACATTAAATACGCACTATGTAGTCAGTAATCAAAATAATTGTCAAAATAAAATAAATTATACAGAAACGCATAAATAATCGAAAGAAATATATTGTCTGACACCGATTTGTGAACACTATCATATTGGTTTCTATATTTAAGACTCTTAATATGTCACTTGGAAATTATAAACACAACTTTAATTACTGACTACATAATGCGTATTTTCAATGTTTAATTATTAATGTGATTGAGAAAGTTCTAGTAAGGATCGAAACTAGTTTCGTGGCGTTTTATACTAGAAGATTAATTAATAAAGTAATTTTTTCAACCAATTATATTGCTCGTATTTGGCCGCACGTTCGATCTTATTAATAATAATAATCTTTATTAACATACAAGATAATATAAATTTATAAACGTGAGATCAATATAGAGCGACACCTCAAACGGCGAGACATCAGCAATAATGCTGTTTGGAAGGCTAGATTTTAATATAATTTAAATAATAAATAAAACAGAGAGAAGAATTACTTATTAATAGTGAATAGAAATTTCGCGTTTATAACAAAAATACAATTAATGTACCACGTGAATCTGAGAAAGCAAGTCTTACAAGCAAACCTCGGGGAACGTCAGATGCCGATTTTTCTCAAATTTTTTACAGATGTTTCTTATGTCAAAATCTGAAAGAATCTGTCATTAGTTTTAGCATAAATTCATTTTTTCAATTAAAAAAACTTTTATTTTACGTAACTACACGACTTTACACATGTTTAAAGCTGTATTTTTTACAAAAATAAATCTACACCCAATTTTTTGAATCTTTTTTGTTACTTTTTCATATTTTTATAGATTTTTTGGTGTAGATTCATTTTTGTAAGAAATACAGCTTTAAATATGTGTAAAGTCGTGTATTTACGTAAAATAAAAAATTTTTTTCAATTGAAAAAATAGAATTTGAGCTAAAACTAATAAAATATCTGTAAAAAATTTGAGAAAAATCGGCATCTGACGTTCCCCGAGGTTTACTGGACTCAGAAAAATATTCACACCCATCTCGCGGAGGCATATGCCGGATAGGATACCTGGAGATTGATGTTCTCGAATCCCCTGTTGACACTGTCCGTGAGCTGGGCGATCGCGGCGGTGTTTCCCGGCACCCTGTAGATACCCACAACCTCGAGTCCTCTCGCCTCGACGATGCTCGTGCACATTTCGACGATCAGCGGCACGTACTCGGAGAACGAGGACGGCGGGCAGAGCTCGAGGGGCACCTTGAACGTGGCCCCCTCCGGCGGCAGCTGCGCCGTGGGCGAGGACGGCGCGCCGCCGGTCTGGCCGTGCATCCTTCTGAACTGCTTCGCCATCCTGCCCTTCCAGGTCTTCGATTTCGGCGACGGCAGGGGCTCCACTATCTGACTGCTCGGCTTGCGCGTCTTGTTCACCGGCGACTGACCGGTCGGCGATCGATTCCTGAATGACGTCAGTTTCTTGATGCCCTTGTGACTCGGCAGCGGACTCAGTCGTTGGACGTTGCTCGGAGACACGCCGCTGTTCGGAGTTGACGGACCCGTCGGCGTTTGGGGAACGGCTTGCTGTTTCGACGTGCAAGATACAGCGTCCTGCGAATGAACGTACCATCATGTCGCAAGAAGAATTCAGAATTAATTGAGAAATTCTGGATAATCGACATCCCGTTGAAACGGAAAAACGGGAAACGAGCAGAGGCCAAGATATCGACTATTTCGTATTATCTTCGTACCTTCACCTTCATATCTTAAGTTTGGGTTTTTTTTGTGGGTAAATGGATAAACTTTATTTAAAATCTGTTTAGAGGACATTATTGTACACATGTATAAGAAACCAAAGATATATTTTTTTATTTTTCTTATGTCCAAAACGGCGGTGCACTGGCCTACACCTGGCGGAATCCCTTTTTTTTTCTATCGGTGTACAGGATTCCAGGCACACGATTTGGCCTTGGACAAAACAAAGTATTTTCATTATCTACATATTAAAGACCAGAGAAGTACATACGTAGGGATTTTTCGAAATATTGATTTTTTTCAAAATGACAGTTATTTTACGAAAGACTTGTACACTTGACAAAAATGCGAACTTTTCGTAAAAATAGCTGTCATTTCGAGGAAAATCAATATTAAAAATAATTCCTATGTACTTCTATTTGTCTTTAATATGTAAATAACAAAAATTTTTTGTATTTTGTTCAAGGTCAAACCGTGTGCGTAGAATCCTGTATGTACACCGATTTGGAAAAAAAAAAAATAGAAAAAGGAATTCCGCAAGTGGGTCATTGCGCCGACTACTTTGTAAAAAAAAATATATAAGAAATATATTTTTTAGTTTCTTATATATGTACAACAATGTTCCTAAACAGCTTTTACATAAAGTATTATCTATACCCACAAAAAAATCACAAACTTAGGTATCATTTTAAGGCCTCGGGGATGGCATGACCCCTTAAATATAGATTTCGCAAAAAAATGTCCTACAATTAATTACTCACCGATGCTCTTTCTGCAGCGGCGTGAGAATGAAGTGATCTTAACCAAAGGGCCATGGACGCCGCATCCTCGGTCTGCAGGAGCACCTCCGCCGTGGGATTTGCCACTCGCAACACGTGTTTCCGCTTTGTGTAGTCCTCGGCGACGTCGACCACGGAACACCTGACGTCGACGCTCTGTCCCGCATTCGTCTCGCTATCGGTGCTCAGCGAGGGACTCTGCAATCGATGATCGATGTATCACGTCAATAAAATATTACGCTTCTACATTTCGTTTGGCGGACACTGATCGACATGCAAAACAGTGACTCAGGGTGGGTACTCGAATTTTGCAAAAGAATTCCCTGAAAATTCCCGGATTTTCCAGGAATTTTGTTCAAAATTCCAGGTAAGATTAGAGAATTTCTCAATACAGCTTTAAAATAAATTAGGCACTGAGAGTTCTAATAACGTATAGAACTTGATGCGTGAAACAATTTAATCTTCTCATATGTACAACAGTTACATCTCCATACGAAATTTTTCGAACGTAACGAAAGATTTTGTATGGAGATGTAACTATACATATGTGAAGATTAAATTGTTTCACGCACCAAGTCCTTATTAGACTCTTAATGTCTGATTTATTATTTCCGGATTATCGTTTTTTAGATTGAAGAGTCTTTATATATAGTATATGTCAATTTAAAATAAGTTAACTTTCAATATCAGGGACCTTCGATATGGAGTCACGTTTACTTTCTAAAGGGATAAAATTAAATTTTAAAAATTCATAAAATTTTCCTGAGATACCAGTATAAAATTCCGTGAGAATCCATGATTTTCAAGGGTAAAAATGAAATTCCCTTTCAGGTTTTCCCGATTTTGCCCGGATAGTACCCATCCCGAGTGTAATGTAATGAACGTTATTCACCTGGCTGTGACGATCCTTGTAAAAGTATATTATAGGACCACGGAGAACACCCCAGACTTGCTTCCAGGAACGATCGGTAGATCGCTAAAGTGTTATTAAATGCGGTTAAAGATAATGCATATTCAACGCGTTGCAGCTCAAATAAAATGTCATTCGTCGAGCTTGTGTGTGTGTGTCTCACCTTGCCGTCGAGCACTGTGAATTTAACATGGAGCGTTCCCTCCCGTTCCACTGGTTCAACATCCTTCGCAGTCCCGTCGCAGCTGTTTGACGTACTATGCGTCACAGCAATGCTGTTACTGGAAAAGAAATGAAGCCGTTTGCAATCTGTTGTTTGCAAATGTACACAAATGATACTTTCTGTTTAAGTTGCAGGGCGACGCAGTCGCGATACCATCTACGGTCTCAACGACAGCGGGAGAAATTTCACCGTGATTATTAATCACAACTACATTTCTCTCTACATAGGTATATATATTATATATTCTCTCTATATATTTTTTTGCTAGATTGAAAACGACATTGAAAAAAAAAACAGCGGTCACATTGATCTTCTTAGCTTATTAATGTGTCATTCCGTTAGTAACAATCAGCCAAATCCAGTGTCCGAAAGGGACGCTAACATGATCCATCTATGGTGTCAAGAAGGTAGTCTAGTAACAGCAAAACATATGGACGACCACAGCATGATTTCAATATCAGAGCCACGAACAACGGGAGTGTGTCGTATTTTATGTGCCTATATGGAGACGTATGTTTCTTATCACGGAATAATAAACAAGGAAGGATATCTTATCTAACGCCACTCGCGAGCAATTAACGCGTGCGAATCGCGAGGCCGTGATAAATTCGGTTTATATCTCTATTGGGAAATTATCAGCTCTCTTGACGCACTACGCTTTCCTACTCGTTATTTTCATCTCCAATTTCGAGCTGTGTAATTTTTTGCTCATTTGATTTTATTTCACCTGACTTGAATGCATTTTTTCCACATGAAAGTCTCTGTAATGCAATTTTTAAAATTTAAATTTGGAGCGCAGTAAATAGAAGCATTTCTTTTATGCAATTCTTTTGAATAATTCGTTTCGCTAAGGAGACATTCAAATGAACAAGCTTCCGATTTTTTAATTTTATTCTATTTCTTGTCAGATTAAATCCTTTCAATAGCAATAGTTTCTAGATTTCTCAATCTCTTCTACGTTATATGGAAAATAGTGCAACGGTCGTATTTTTTTTTTTTTTTGAAATTCTGCGTTGTAAATGTCGCTGAAAGATGATACACGAAATGCGGTACAACTCTCATGCTTCTATCGGCATTGCAACTTGGCGATTATTCGTCATCACTCGCCACCGTTTACAGGCAGGTAGACAGCGCAAACGTACATGTACAGAAACGAGACGAGAGCGGATCGAGAGCGAGAGAGAGAGAAAGAGAGAGGGCAAGGACAGACGTAGATACAATTATAGCTTGGAGGAGGAGGAGAGACGCGGAGCATAGATAATGCAACTCTTTTTCTCTTTCCGTGCTATGCAAACGGAAATCTTTCGCCCTCACCGATGGTGCGAGTTTCGATGTAAGGACGCGGCCTGCGTCATATCCTCAAAGATGCGTCGCAGGGGCGTTATATCGCTCGGAAACAACGGCGGCCGCCATCGTCTTTGCGCACTGGAAAACACGGACAGGTGCAAGCTTCGAGTACGTACTTACAAGTTTTAACACCTTTCGACAGGTGACCAACGTATGCAATTGCCAATGTTGCTCTCGTTATTTTTCATCTTGCGTGCGAGCAAATCTCGTGTGAGAAGCAATCAAGAGGGGGAAAAAAAAAAAACGGTGTCGTGTCGACGTCAATATGCTTTGTGCGTTTGAAAAAGAAGGACAGATCTCGGTGCCGGTTGATTTGAAATCAACGCCGCGTTTGAAATTGTCGTCACCGCGACGACGTCAAAAGACTCGGAAACGCGCGTGTCGAAAGATATATCATTTACCTTCTGTGAATGTGAACGGGTTCGGAATCGCTGAGCTCGAGATCGCTGTCGACGTGCATCCGTTCGCCCCACGTCGCCTTCAGATACGAAACCCGCCTGGTCGCACGATCCTCGTCACCTAAATTACGATTATGCCGACTGTAATATCGTTTTCCTCGTTTGTTTTATGAAAGGAGGACGTTAAAAAAGGGCCGATTTGACCCCCAAAGGTGTAAGTAAAAGCAATAGTGTTTTTTTACAGATTTTGATCTTCTGAATACGATAAAACTATGAAAAAGTTCGTAGCGCTTGGAGAACACCTTGAAAATTGAACATAAACAAAGCGTATTTAGTAAAAAAAAAAAAACGCTGTATTCATGCTGAATTTTCAAGGTGTTTCCAAGACGCTACGAACTTTTTAATAGTTCTATCGTATATTCAGATCAAAATCTATAAAAAACACTATTATTTTTACTTACACCTTTGGGGATTGAAATCGGCCCCTTTTTTAACAAGGAAAAAGGTCGTTAAAAAAAGGTCGATTTGGCTCCAAAAGGTGAAAGTAAACACATTTTTTACAGATTTTGATCTTCTGAATACGATAAAACTTAAAAAGTTCATAGCGCTTGGGGAACACCTTGAAAATTAAGCATAAACACAGCGTAAAAAAAACGCTGTGTTCATGCTGAATTCTCAAGGTGTTCCCAAGGCGCTACGAACTTTTTAATAATTCTATCATATTCAGGAGATCAAAATCTATAAAAAACACTATTGTTTGTACACCTTTTTGGGCCAAGATCGACCCTTTTTTAACATCCTACTCCGTTTGCAATTGTGACGCATCCTTTCTCTCAATTTACTTCAATCACTCCTAATTGATTATGTTTTAAAGTTTTGACATTTATAGATTTATGATTGCATAAATGCCCGTTGATGAAGGCTTTAAAATCGTTCGACCAATAAATAAATCAGTTATTTAAAAAGACGCTCAAAACTACAATACTGCTATAATTCAATGCACATGTGTAAACAATGGCTTCTTTTTGCGTGGGTATCACGCTGAATTATAAGCAGTATTGTATTGTCAAGTGGCGTCTCTCCTTTAAATAACTGATTTATTACGTTACGAGAGAGAGAAAGAGATAGAGAGAAAAGTTTCTGGAGTGCAATCGCGCGCGCGCTTAATAATTTCGATAAAACGCGTTCTCGTCCTCTGCGCGCCTGACGCATGCGTCGCAATAATTGCACTGTAATGTATAAAAATATCCTCATCGTTTAAAACTCACTGATCTGTGCGTTCTTCTGTCGCCTAAGTACCGCGGCGTTATTGGTCGAGCCGTTGGGCGAAGAACCATTGACTGGCGCTGAAAGAGAAATCAATGGGACGATTATTAACGCTTTATGCTCGACCTTTATGTAACGTAGGTATGTGTGAGTGTCGTGTGTGCACACGATGTATGTATGTATATCTGCAAAGGTAGCGCTAAATGGTAGCGGCCCCCGAAGGGGCGGGATACCAACCGATTTGCAGTTTGGCCGACTGCAAGTAATTGTCCTGGTTGCGATAGGCTTTACTGTTGTCCTCGGTGCTGCTGCCGCCGCCGTCTTCCACCTCGGCGGCGGTCTGCCACGTATGCCTCGCGCCGCTCCGCGCCGCCGGGCCATTCGTTGCCTCCCAGGACTCCGCGCTGTTGCTGCGTGCCCTCAAACGCACCGATTCCGTCTCCATAGCAGGCACGTCTGCTCGATTACACGACGGGGCGATTATTACAGGCGATTATTATCGTATATACGGCGGTATATTATTATATATTTCTTGTACGCGAACGAGAGTGCGAGCAACATCTATCCGCTTTGTTAATAGCCAACGGAAGTAAAAGTATATATATAGCGTGCGTTGTTGTCGCTGTGCAGAAGCGCCAGGCGGATACGTCTGGGGTTGCTATTTTGAATAGCCGACATATCCGTAAGAAAAGCACGGCCAGCAACACAAAAACGTCGGGTGCAAGGGGGCAGTTAATGTCTCCTTTGTGCATAATGTTAACGTCGACAAATTCCGGTATATATCATCGGCTTTTATCCGGTTACTTCCGCTCGGGGTAGACACCGCGTGTCGGTCCGTGTTCAAACGGTTTTGAAACGACCAAATTGTTAAAACTGATTGCGATTTTACCTGTCAAGCGGCGTCTCCAATGAGACTTGAAGACTTAAGATTTAAGAAAATTAGTGGATTATTCATCTTATGCGAGAAGAATAATCGATTGTGATTGGTTGAATGGACTTTCTTAAATCTTAAGTCTCAAGTCTAATATAGTCTGTATAGACGTCGCATTGCGCGCCACAGGGATGGAGGTGCGTGTTACTCTTGTCTCTAAGTTAGCGTGAGAAGCGAGCGAGGGAAGAAAGGCGCATTAATTTCGTTATATCATCTCTATCGCATTAACGACTTCGTAATACGAGTTTATTATTAACGCCACGTCGCGCGATCGCGCGCTCACACTGAATGCAAAACGAGTCACTGACAGCACAAAAGAGCGGCACAAGGCGACAATGCACAAACAACGTTCGACACAGCTTCCTTAACTTTATCTACCTTCGCTCTCTCTATAGTCGGCCGGTGGCTCGCAATGGATATGCTTGCTTCCTATAGGAATTATTCTGTTGCCTGTAAATACTGCACCTAAACGACGACACTTGTTTACTGAGCATTGATCTGAGCATCACTAATTTCATCTAATCCTAATTAACCGCGAAATTCATAGCGATTATCATGAAAGCGTGGATCGATAGGAATCTAGAATGCGATATTAAGGTTGGCGCAAAAGATTTGTCGCTTTCTCATGAAGTTCCGTGCTAAATAAAACGTCAAAGTTTTTATGTATTGAGAATAACATTTCTCCTCGGACGGAAGAAATAAATATGTTGAAGGCAGTAGTGATAACTTTGCCTCAATTTTGTTCCAATCTCAACTTTGACAAATCTCGTGGCTGACGCCAATCATTTTGGCACCGACTCGAAACACATAGAAAGGCACTTTCGACCGGACGCTTACCAGTGTCGAGAGACTTCGTTTCCCTGGCCGGTAGCCTCCTCAAGTCCTGATTCTCGGCTTTAGACTCGAACTCCCGTTTCCGCACGGCCACATTCGGCACGCTCCTCTTGTTCGACAATCTCGACAGCTCGCTCCTGTAGAGATTCGTCCGATCGCCAGCGGGCTCGTCCTCGTCGCTCAGCAGACGACCCGACTCGAACTGCTTCGCGCGCCGCGAGACTATCTGCAGGCCCTGCGGCGGCACCGGGAACCTGGTGTCGCCGCTGATTTTCTTGTCCGGCACCGGAGAGGACGGCAGCGACGAGGAGCTGTTTCGCGTCTCCTGCGCCGCCTGTTGCTGACTCGCGCCGACGTTCTCGTGTATTCTCGACAGGATGCTGACGAAGCTGCCCTTGCTCGTGCCGCGCGAGTACTGCTGCTCCTTCGCGTGCTCGTTGTCGTAGAGAAGCGACGGCGAGTAGCAGTGATCCGCGGACTGATTGTCCGCGAACTGTTGATCGTTCCGCGGCTTCGAGTACTCGGAGCTGGAGTCCACGTCCTTTATCCTCTGCACGCTCTGATTCGACGGCTTGTTCACCAAACTGGTCTTGGCATTCCTCTCTTGAGATCTCCTCGTGGGGGATTGCTGTCGCTGCTGCTGCTGCTGCTGTTGTTCGTTCTGGCCGGGCGGCCAGATCTGTCTCTGGAGCTTCTGTGGCCTCGCATAGAATTCCCTGTGGATCACCGAGGACTGGCCAAAGTTCGGCAGTAGCGACGTCGCCGAGTCAAGGGACCAGCCGATCGGGTGACTCGGCCGCCGCAGAAATTCCGCCTTCTGCTCGAAGCTCTTGCGCAGCCGGTTCATGATGACGGAGTCGTCGGAGCACTCGTTGCCGGTCAGAGTCGAGTTGGAGTCGTACGGGGACGTGCTCTCCTTGCTGGCGGCGGGCGACGAGTCCCGTCTCGACTCGATGCTCAATCTGCTGGACTCGCTCGATCTCAGGGCGTCGATGCTGCTGCCGTAGCTCGCCGTCTCGGAGTCGAGGGTGTTGCCGCTGCCCTCGCTCGCCCGTCGCGTCACCATTCGCTTGATCGGCCGGTAGATCGGCACCTGCGGCTCCGCCTGCGACACCGGGTAGCGCAGCAGGGACGACGGCTGGTAGTAGTGCTGCGGATGGTGCTCGCTGGCGCGCACGCGCTCGTAAATCGGATCGTTGATCCGGTCGTACAGCTGCTCGTTGCTCGGCCGCGAGTACACCGACTCGGGCCGCGTCCGGTCGTACAGATCGTACTTGGAGTCCAGGGACAGTCGGCCGCTCGGCTGCACGACGTTGTTGTCCTCGTGCCGCAGCAACGGCAGCTTTCTCCCCGGAACTCGGGAGTCCTCCGAGAGATCATACAACGCGCTCGCCTCCGACAAACCCCTCCGTGGCTGCAACGCGCTCGCGATCTGAGAGTCCACGATCGAGACCTGAGACGGCGGCATCCTGCACGTCACTTCCTCGTGATGATGATTTGGGCTCTCGGACGACGGCAGAGAGCAGACCCAGGACTGCCGCGTCCTCGGCGATCCGCCCGGAATCATGCTGCTCACAGACCTGCGCTGCTTCTGCGACAGTCTCTCCGGTGAGCGTAGCCGCGGCCGTTGATTCGTCTCGGGATTATGCGCCGTCTCGCCGAAGTACTAGAAAGTTTAGAAAGATGGGTATCTCTTATTCGTGTTATCCCAGAGACACTCCGCGGAGTGTCTGAGATCCCGTAGTGAAATTTCGAAACTATTATTGCTAGAATCAATAAATAGACGAGTCACGTCTTTTTCGGGACTTATGATTTTAGACTACTTCTAACAATAAGTGAATAGACGTATTTCTTTGGTTCATTTACGAGCGATTTAAAAAAAAAATTATTGCAATGCGGTTTTCTGGAGCACTATGAAAAGATTAACGGGATCCAGACCTTTGTATGGTAACCGGTTGGTACACAAAAAGTAAGTGTGTATATTTAGGGTCAAAATTTTTTGTTCTTATCGTAGTCATAAAAAAGCGCGCGCGCGCGCGCTGCGCGGAGAAAGTATTGAATCGCGAAGCGAGAGAAAAGCTGGAAGCTGAGAGAAATTGATAAATCAATAAACGATGGTATCGTTAATAAAATATATGCACCGAAAATAAAACGGAAGACAGGTGGCATTTTTGCGGGTAGAAAATTGTTACTCCATGGTCTCCAGCGATATTCGGTTAGCCAATTCAAGAACATTCCAGGTAAAAATCTTAGTTTTTCCAGATCGATTAATTTTCATTACTTAAAATTAATTAATTTTTACTGATTTGCGCAATATTATATACGTTTTGTATTCAAATTAGGATTCTGTATGACGAATCAATTAAAATGCAAACAAATTTAGAATAATATTACCTTACAAATTGCTTGCCTTATTGCATCTTTAAGGGTTTATGCAACCACAAACGAGAGCTTTTTCAAAAACGACATTACCAACGTTATCGACAAATAGTTCTTGCACACGCGCAAGAAATATTTCTTTCTTCCTTTTTTACGATCCAATCTTTTTTGAAATAAAAGAATGACAAAAATTCAAGGTCAGTCCCGAAATTTCAGGGATTTTCCAAGAATTTCCCAGAACACATTAAATTCCTTAATAATTCCAGAATTCAAGGACATTCAAGAACCGCTGGACACCCTGCACTCAGCGCGGATGCAAGAGTCTTAACGTACCCGCTGCAAAATGTCGTCCTCCTTGGAGACCACGAGGAGGCGCAGCCACGGTCCCGCTTGTTGAATGCGTTGCACCACGCTGGCGTACTGCTCGCCCCGGGTGGGCGTCCCGTCGACGGAGACGACGCGGTCACCGGTGCGCAGTCCGGCCTCGGCCGCCGGCGAATTCGCCCGCACCTGCTTCACGAAGATCGTGTCCATGGGCTCGTCGATCTTGGTCCGCTCGTGTCCCGGCAGCATCTGCAATACATGCGCGAAAAGGGATCTCCTTTCATTCTCGGTCGATGTTTTTTATAGCCTGAAGAAGCCTCGCTCGAGAGTACACAGTTGAAAAATTTGTGTTAAATTTAACACATCTCACATGTCCACTCAAATTTTTGTGTTAATTTAATGCAAGATGAATATACTGGAAAGTAACACAAACATTATGTAAAAATTAATACAAAAAAATGTAACGCTTTAATACAATTTGGAAACAAATTGCGGAAACATTATTCTTCAGTAAAATTAACATGTAAAATTAAGTGTATATTTTTTTATTCATTTATCTTAGAATTTACGGTTTAAAACTACTTTATTTTTACGTTATTCATTCGCTTACTTATAAATTGTATACTTATAAATTGTATGTTATTTTGACACTGAGAAATATTAAATATTAATTTAACACAAAATATTTAATTAAATAACATAATCACATTACGTTAATTTAACAAGCAAATATGTTAAAAATTCGACACAAAATTTTAACAAAAATGTAAGTGGACCGTTTCCAACATAAATACAAAATGTTTTTTACTGTGTGCACGAATACTCACGCAACAGGACTCGGGCGGATAGACGATGAAATGCCGTAACGTGAATCCGTAGCCATTCTCGCTGCGCCGGAGCAGCAGGGTGCGAGGGCCACGAGGCGGCGAGTTCTCCTTCTGAGCGGATCTGGGGGACGCCGGATCTCCTGGACCGGGGCCCGAACTCGGCGCTGGTGGCGGGGGAGATGAGTGCCCTACCTATATAAACATCGATTCATCAATTATTATTAATTATACAATTAATTGATGAATTCTTAAGAAATTCTCCACAAAAGTCGGCAATTTTCGTTAAGTCACTAATTCTTGAAAGAGAAAGCAATCGCTTAGTCATGCCAGAAATTTTAATAAACGCCGATTAAGAAAATATGTCCTTTTAAAAATACATTTAATATGTCGGACGTTTTTTAAAAGTCTTAAAAGTGAAATGAACATAATCAGGTATTTCATTGAAGAAATAAACGTCTTTCTTCTTTTTTTCCTTCCAAAATTCATTTTTGTTAATCAATAATGAAAGGAGCAATCACTTAATTATGCCAAAAACTTTGTAAACGGAAAAGCACGGATTAAAAATTGATTAAGAATATGTTCCTTTAAAATACTTCTATCAGACGCTCTTAAAAGTCTTAAAATCAAAATGATTAATAAGTGAAGTCAAGTTCCACTGAATTAATGAATTCCGCGCTCAAGAAATAAATGTTGGATTTTTCTTTTTCAACTTCTGAAACTTGTCAGCGATTTTTAATTAATCCTAATTTTAAATAATCCTTGGAAGAAGAAGCAATCGCTCACTTGTGCCAGAAAACTTTACCTGGAAAAGCGGCGATTAAGAATAAATCTGACTACATCAGACGTTCTTAGGAAGGTCTTAAAATTGAAATGACTAATGTGTGCAGCCAAGTGTACATTCCATTGAAGAAATGCAAATTGAGGCTCTCTGTATTCTTCTTTTCTCCTCGCAAGGTATGTAATTACAATTGTATTTGACATATTATTTTGTTCTCCATCTGATATTTAGACGTTTCTTTTTTTCCGAGCGCTATCATCTAAATCACTCGACTATCTTGATCTCTCGCTCAATGTTAATGATAAGCACACTTGAACGCGCGAGGTGAGCAATCAGCAAAAAAAAAAAAAGATAATAAGTGTAAGGATTCCCAGTAAAATTCCACAATTAAAAAAAAATAGGCTAATGGGAATCAGCGTGGTAATTGGTGCGCAATGATAAGTTAAGTGAATAGCACTCTTTTATTTCATGTATGTAGATTTATTGCCAAACGTTTCGGCCATCCATCTGGTCATCCTCAGTGTAACATTGATGCAGGTCAATTTGTCGTTATGTTAAATAATAGTGCATAACTATACGAATCACTAAACATAAAAAATCTCAGCAATTGTCATATTTATAAAAGAACTAAGAAACTAACTGAGAAATTTAAAAAATCGACTGTGCTTCCAAGCGTCACATGTGAAACTGAGAAAATAAAATAAAAAAATATACGCGTATCTCGCATGCGCGCCGCGAGATTTCCGATACACTCGTAAACGCGAGTGTTAATAAGCTATCGTCGCTTCGAACGGCTAACAAACATCGGCACGGTTGTCAAATATTGAAGGCTAGATTAGGCTCGAATTACCAAAATAGAATTCCAAATATATATACCGGCGAATTGTATATTTGTAGAACATCGATCAAGTTCCTTCTTTCTTTCTCCCTCCCTCACTCTATCTCTCCTCTCCTCTCGATTTGCACCGTCTGGGTAGGCCGACTAATACTAGGAAAGTCGGTGCAACGCGAAAACGCGGCAGACAGACTCGTGGATATCGGCCAAGAATTATTCCAAGCCGACTCCCGGAGGCGAAGGCGGCGCGGGCGGCGGCGGCGGCGGCGGAGAGCTGGAGATCGAGACGTTCGAGGCGCGCGCGTTTTCGCTCTCGCGCTGATCGCCGAGCCGAGTCGAGTAAAATTTGGCGAAACGCCAAAAAATACGCGGCTCGAGTTCGGCTGCGGTAATGCGCACCTAGGGATCGGGACGAGCGGAATTCGCATCGCTCGAAGCGGGACTCGCGGAAGCGGGCGCAAGGATAGAAATATATACTCTCGTCATCACCGAGACAGAATTGATTGTCCGAGGAAAGTCCAACGGGACGTGAGAGCCTAAGGAGCGAACGCTAAAGACCTCGAAGAGATTAACTGAGATTGAGAATTTTTTTTTCCCTTCGAAATAAAATAATCGTGTTCGAATTCTCTCCCTCTCTCTCTCTCTTTTATTTGCACAGCAGCAAAGATAACTCGTCACGCGGAAATGTTCCTATCTCGAATATAGGAAGACGAGGAGCAAGATTAAAAATTAAAGCAAATGGTCGGCGGAACGAGGTGATAAGACGATCAACGTGCGCGCGCGCACTTCGCGGTTTTCCGCGTTTATCTAATCCGCTCGAACGCATGCATTTCGCGCGGAGAGTGGAGTATCGCGGCGCGGCGCGGCGGTGTATCAACGGTATTCTATACGCCCTTTCGAAACGTCCCTGCATGCCTGTCGATAGATAGGCATCTTCTTTTTTTTTTTTTATTCACAACCCGGTCCCGTTCGACGGTCACGAATAAAACGCGACCGCGCGGCAGGCCGACCGACCGCCGCGCCGGGGCGAATAAAAGGGGGAATCGATGATATCGGGATTTTTGTCCGCGTGTGCGACGGTCGAGGTGACTGCGTAATACCCCATTCCTCCTTCCCCCCCTCCCCAACCCCGCCGTTATTGTTTCGCGTCGCGCGCGATTTTCCGGTACCTATCTCGCGGACGATGCGAAGTCGGTCGATCGGATGTGTTCGGTGGTTCCCTCCTGCAGTGTGTGTGCGCCATGCGGAAAACAGATCGGCGGCCGCGCGCGGACGTGAAGCGCGGGCGTCGATGACGATGTAGGTCAGAAGAGAATAGGCGTTGTCAACCGACGGCAAGTGGGTCACCAAACCGTGCGGAGTGTGCGGCGCGCGGTCAATAATTACGCACGGACACGGTTCGTGCCGCGACGTGTCTTCGGACACGCGTGTCCCGTCCGTCCGTCCGACCGTCCGTTCTCCTTCTCTTCCTCGTCCTCCTCCTCCTACTCCTCCGCCTGCCCGCCTTTCCGGTCACGCATCGGTAAATCAGCGACGTTCCGACATATCGCTCGCGAAACACGTCTTTACTCTCCCGGCCGGGAAGTCGCGGGAGAGCCGTGACGAGAGGGAGGGGGGAGGGGGAGGGGGACAGGCCCAGGAAGAGAGGTATATTTACGTATGCACATTGAAATCCACTTGTGTTTGCGAGAAGAGGGAACACGCCGCGCCGCGCAAGGTCGCGCGAGTATAGGCACATTAACGAACTCATTTTCTCACCCTCCGCCGACCTGCAAGCGGGAGTCGTGCGTGCGTAAAAAGTGCCTCGCTGCCGCGTACGAGCGATGGCTTCATACGCGCGCGGGCATCCGCTCGACGCGATATAAGTATGTACTTCGTCAAATAAGCCTATACATTCGGCTAAGGCACGTCGCTATTATTGCGTTACCGGATGTCGCGTCGCGCGACTGTAAAACTGCCAATTTGGAAAACGGATTTCTCCTCTTGATGAGAGCGTACAATCGTTTATCTCATCCTGCAACTTTTACTTTTATAACTGAACCTCAAATCAAATTTCTCCTTCGCCGCGCCTGAAATTAATTGAAGAATAAAGTTTCCGCCTCGTGTTTCTTCTTTCACTGACACTTAATTTGTTAGCGCCTCACCATTTGCGCATGCACGCGTGAAATAACATTCCTCGTGATAACATTCTTGGCAAACAATTTTTGTGTTACATTTTTAACGTATACGGGCGGTAATTTAATAACATAATGTGATTGTTTTATTGGAATATTTGCTAATAGCTCAAAGTAACATACGAGTGGTAATTTAACATTATGTAATTGTGTTATTTGAATCTTTTCTAGCAGTCTTAAAATAATATTCAACGTTTCTTAATGTTGAAACACAATTTGTAAACAAATAATAAAAATGATATAATTTTAAAATGTAAATTCTGAATAAAACACGTACATGTTTATATATATGTATGTTAATTTAACATATTATAAGTGTTAATTTTACTGAAGGAATATGCTTACTGAAAAAATTGTGCTTCTAAAATGCTTCGAAATTGTGTCGAAGTGTAACATTTTTTGTGTAACTTTTTTTTTATCTATATTTCTAATTTTATTTCATTTTATTCATTTTATGGTAAATTAACCTAAAAAGAAGAATGTTAATAAAGGGCCGACTTTGGCCCCCAAAGATGTCAATAAAAACAATAGTGTTTTTTTATAGATTTTGATCTCCTGAATACGATAGAACTATTAAAAAGTTCGTAGCGCTTGGAAAACACCTTGAAAATTGAGTATAAACAGAGCGTATTTAGTAAAAACGCTGTGTTTATGCTCAATTTTCAAGGTATTTTTTCCCCAAGCGCTACGAACTTTTTAATAGTTCTATCGTATTCGGGAGATCAAAATCTATAAAAAAACACTTGTTTTTACTGACACCATTGGGGGCCAAAATTGTTCTTTTTTTTAACATCCTCCTTTAAATGGACCATTTGGAACATAAAATGTGTTTTCAACATAGACTTTCCAACTGTGTAGTTAAATCGTATATACGTTCTGCAATACAGATTATTAGATATTATTATTACTGATTTGCCACAAGCCTGTTATCGTCTTTCGTTAATCATTCGAGGGTCATAGGTGCTTCAAGGAAAACTTCTAGAAAAAAAAAATAGATTGTGAAGAAGGGAACATTATCTCGCGGTCTTGGAGAACGCATGCGGAGGGACTCGCCTGGCGAGCTCCTTCCAGATCCCGCGGAAACCTCGCCTAAAGTTTTTAATCAGCCGTTAACGATCGCAAACCGGTTCACGCCAACGCTCGCGAGGGGGTTTCCAATCTTTTTGATTCGAGGTCTGTTATCCTTTTGCGCTGACCGCGAGACGCGCTCGCCTGTTTCCGCCTATTCGAGCCGACGAGCACCGCGCGCGCGGTGCGCAGTTCCGACATCGATAACCTCCGAGTTCCGGGCGGCGTTTTATACGGTCGTTTGTTTATCACTTCGAGAGAGAAATATCGAGAGCCGCCACGGCCATGGTTGTTGTATGTAGCGTAACGAGCGATCCTCATTCAGGGTGGGTACTCAAATTTTGTAAAAGAATTTCCTGAAAATTCTCGGATTTTCCAGGAATTTTATTCAAAGTTCCAAGTAAGATTAGAGAATTTCTCAAAATACAGCTTTAAAACAAATTAGGCACTAAGAGTTCTAAAAAATAACGTATAGAACTTGATGCGTGAAACAATTTAATAACTCATATGTACAATAGTTACATCTCCATACAAAATTTTTCGAACGTAACGAAAGATTTTGTATGGAGATGTAACTATACGTATGTGAAGATTAAATTGTTTCACGCACCAAGTTCTACGTTATTAGACTCTTAATGCCTGATTTATTATTTCCGGATTATCGTTTTTTTTTTTAGATTGAAGAGAGTCTTTATGTAGTACATGTCAATTTAAAAATAAATTAACTTTCAATATCAGGGGCCTTTGGTATGGGGCCGCGTTTACTTTCTAAAGGGATAAAATTAAATTTAAAAGTAAAATTCCAAAAATTTCCCTGAGTACCAGTATTCCATGAGAATCCATGACTTTCAAGGGCAAAAATGAAATTCCCTGAGAATTCCAGGTTTTTCCGGTTTTTCCCGGTAGTACCCATCCTGCCATTCTCGGAGCTCGGCGCGGATTATTAAAAACAGGATATGTAGCGGTAATGAACGATCGCCTCGCTCTTCAAGGAGAGATAAAAGAAGAGATTCCTGACGGAATTCTCCTCTCGCGTATATAATCGAATGAATTTGACCGCATGAAATTTCGCAATCAGCTCTAATCGCGTGAGCAATACGATGATTTAGAAGGCATCATCCTCTCGCGCTCACGCCACGCGCAGCGACTATTCCTATTTTACGCCAATCGCCGCGCGCTTATTCACGAGCGTTTTCCTTGTATCAGTGCTAATACTTGATTCAGTGCGTTCCTCCGCGCGCAAGTGGCTTACGTAATTTCGTTTTACCAGCGGCTCTTATATAAGGAGCAACCGCGATCGACGACCGATAGATCGATTCGCTAACTTTTCCCGTGTTGCATCGCAAAACGGAAATTCCGGAGAAATTCAAACGTGCCATCATTTATTTATCTTATTTATCTCATTTGTACACAAGATGCTTAAAAAATGCGAAAAAAGTCCGTTTTGTCCACACTCGGTCCGTTTGTATATTGATCAATCGCTCGATTCACACGACTCGTCGATCTTGAAATGAAAAAAAAAAAAAAAGATTTCGCGGACACACACCGAGCGCGCGCGCGCGTTGCCGTTTCCTTTTTACGTCGTCATGGACGTGTCTCGAATCGAGGCGAATGCGAACCTTAAACGCGTCGCATTTAAAAGGCGGAATGCTTGTACGGTGACGATGCGACCTCGCCCGTGGCGCGCGTTGCCGAAAGAAAATGGAAAGGAGAGAACTCCTGACCGAGGAGGAAAAGGAGAAAAGGAATTAGGTGCTACTCGCTCGTGTGACGAGATGCACTCTCCCTCGCGAATAAATGAAAAGCGAAAGAAGGGCGCGGTAGATTCACTTTGTCGCCGCGAGTGTGAAATCGGTTGGTCTCCAGGAGGACAAGAATATCACATCCGGCGTACAATTCAAATCTATACAATCTCTCAAGAGGCTCCCGAGTTGAACGCATAATCGATCGTGCGATTTTGCGAAATGCCCCGGAATCTTTCCAAGCCTGGAGAGGACCAATATCCCTTTAGCCTTGCCTTTTGAGGCACGAGACATGTCAGGGTCGCCAATCAAAATATGAATTTTGAAATTCCCTGACTTTTCCATGATTTTCAGACAACAGTGGAAAATTTGCTATGATCAGTATCAAATATATAATTCTAAATTTTAATGTTTAGAAAATACAAGAAAGGGAAATTATGTACGAAAGGTAACTTATATTATTAAAAGCAACATAAATTTAGAATTTAATAACATAATATAATACCAAATGCAAATTCAGGCCAGCAAATTATTAACATCACTTTGACATTAATGTTATACATTAAACTACAGAAAAAAATTCTTTCGGTCTAACTGAATTGTCCGTTGCTTGGGGACCAGACAAAACTCAGTGATAAAAGCAAAAAAATTCCTACAGACATTTCTTTAATATCGCTAAATATTCAAAATATTTTCGATTGCGATAACAGAGATATGTGTAAGTCTCGAACAAAATCGTAATTTTCGAAAATTTGTTCGATTTTCATTATACAAAATCATTTTGTTATTGTCTATAGTTTAATTCTGAAAAAGGTTTTTCAAATAAAAAAAAGCAATACATACAAAAACGTTGTATGCAAAAATTATTGAGTTTCGTCGATAAAACAAATGATCCCTTTAAGGAAATTGTGAGCAAAGTTCAAAATTCCAGGCTCTTTTATATCCTTCCCTGACTTTTCCAGCTTTTCCCTGACCAGTTTGAATTTCCCTGACTTTTCCAGGTTTTCCCGGTTTTCCAGGTCTGTGGCAACCCTGCATGTACAACGAATTATAATAAATCTTACTAAAAAAAAGAGCTGTAAGATTTTTTAAAAATAGATCCCCTCCGCCCACACTAAAGGTTAGGAGGACAGCCGCAATCCACTGAATGCTTAATGCCACCCCAGGACTCGTGTTCTACATTTATAATTTTAGTATCTTGGGAAACGATCCGTTCTCCGCTGAAAAATTGACGAGAGGTGTGCATTATTTTCTAACGACGTTCACGCTCTTGCTGTCAAAAGCGCCTGTACAGGGCGCTTTTGACTTCAATTTCTCGGAGGAAGAGGCCGATGTTCCTCGCCGGACGAATTTCGCATCGGGGCGTCGAACGACTTACCCGTGGCTCAATCAAGCGTGAAACGCTTTATATCGCGAGAAAGAGAGAGATGACGGACGAGTTCTCTTAGAAGATTAATTTCCCGCGGTATGCAGCGGACCAAGCGGGCCGGCCGTCGCGATCGACATCGGTTATCGCCGCCGCTGAAGTTGGACCTCGTCAATGGTGAGGCAACCAGAGAGCCGGTCGCCGTCGCGCGATTATTTATGGGACTCCGAGGCGGAAAAATTGGAGCCGGTGGAACGTCACGTCACGTCGCGTCGCGTCGCGTCGCGTCACGTCGCGTCGCGGAGGTTGTCGTCTTTCGCGGCCATAACCGGCGCGATGGTCACGGCGATACTGGCCACGATCAGACCAGCTGTGCCGTCCGACGGCGCGGCGCGGCGGCCCTATGGGGAATTCGCGAGCACGATGCGCAATTACTCCCTCCTGACGACGTCGCGTCATCGTTATCGTCACCTCCTACAAAACAACGATGCAGCAGCCGCCTCGACGATAGCCGCGCGCGGCACGCGCGTTTTCGACCCACCGGTGATCGCGACGGCTGGACCTCTCGGCTCGGCGCGAGTTATTCTCTCTCTCTCTCTCTCTTTCTCTCTTTCACTCCTCTCGCGGTACTCCTGTTTTTCTTCTTCTTTCACGGATATCCGCCCCTCTTAGAACGCACAGTGGAGTATCGCGCTCTTTCAACTCTTTATTTCTTTACTCAGATGGTCTATCGGTTTGTCTTCCCTTGACGTGCCAACGGCACTTGTATGTTCCCAAACGATCGCCAGCGACGGGATTGTGTTTCTTATAACGGGTACAAATTTGCTGGAGTAGTTTTAAACTCTGTGCATATGATTGTAGGTACTTCAAAAAGTAAAAGTCAAGCAGTATACTTGAAAGTACTACTGCTCGAACCTGGACGAAATGAGTTCGAAAACTTTCTATGATATCTCGAAAAACAAGAGTACTTTCAAGTGGGACCCAGAGCCCAGAGCAAATATGTTCAAATCTCTGTAAAGAGTACTTTTCACCCGAAATTTTATGTTGTTTGGAATCGAAACGTTTATACGGAGCAATTATTTTTATGTTGTATTTTTTGAGAGATAATTATGAATGACTAAAATTAAATATAACAATAATATGATTAAAGATAAAAATTGTTAACAATTTTTTCACGTTACATTCTTTATACTAACAACTTTATTCGTAGAATTCGAGAATCATTTACAAAAAATTCGATTTTTTAGAAGCTATTTGTAGATATATATTTTGAATCCTAAATACTCGTTTTACATTTAATTGTAAAATTCGAAATTTGTAACTTATAGAATCGATTGTTTCGCAAATGCAATATTATTTCTTACAAATATTACTCATATTCCAGAAAATAAAACTTGATTATTATTAGATTTAACTCGGATTTTTTAAATACTATTTATAATATTGAAATTGATCTCATCTCTATAGCGATCACTCATCCGACCAATCGGTTTGCTCGACCGATTGTTTTGTTTGGCTTCGGCGATCGAACGCAAATCGTTATAATAACGCGACTGATAAAACTCTGCGACATCTCGAATGAGCTGGCATTGGTGACGGGATATAAAAAGACCAATGAATCTCTCCGCCTCTTGTTCATTTAAAGATATCGAAAAGTAAAAAAAAACACATTTGTACAAAGTAAAGTTTTACATAAAGTTTCGAGGTGTCGAAAACGAGAAGTTTGTCGAAATACTTTATCAAAATGGTTCGCGCGTGAAAGCGTCTGCGTGCGTCATAACGATAAGTTTAATGGAGGTTGCGGTCGAATTCGTGACACACAGACAGCAGCAGAGACGACACTCGACGGTCAAAAAACGCGAAAGTTCGTCATCCGCGAAAGTTAAACCGGTCGATCAATTCTCTGATCGCGGATCTCGGCGAGGGACTCTTTTTGCTGCTGAGACACGCGATGTGTATTGGTCGCTCAAAATAAAGTAATTTTTGTCGTGAATCAAAGGAAGGAATTTTTACACAATTTTATACATACGTAAAAAAAAAAACGTTTTATTAACAGTATTATAGCCGACAGCAGTCTAATTAAAAATAGTTAATTCAATGAAAGAATTAATGAAACAAATGCACTCTTGTTACAATAAAATGTTTGTTTCATTAATACTGACATTGAATGAAAAAGAAATCTTCGATTGTGGATATCTGCAAGAGATTCTTTTGCCACTGAAACGTGCGATGTATTGGTCGCTTAAAATAATGTAATTTTTGTTGTAAATCAAAAGAAGGAATTTTTACAAGATTTTGTACTTAAAAAGAAACGTTCTTTTAACTGACAGCAGCCTAATTAAAAATAATCTTATTAATTCAATGACAGAATAACACAAATATGCCACGCTTTTGTTTTAATAAAATGTTATTTGTTTCATTAATACTGACATTGAATAAAAAAGAAATCTTCGATTGTGGGTATCTGCAAGAGATTCTTTTGCCACTGAAACATGCGATGTATTGGTCGCATAAAATAATGTATCTTTTGTTGTAAATCAAAAGAAGGAATTTTTACAAGATTTTGTACTTAAAAATAAACGTTCTATAAATCGACAGCAGCCTAATTAAAACTAATCTTGTTAATTCAATAACAAAAATAATAAAACAAATATGCCACGCTTATGTTTCAATAAATTATTATTTGTTTCATTAATACTGACATTGAATGAAGTAGATTGTTTTCAATTAGATTGCTGTCGGCTAATGCTGTTAATACATTTTTTTTTCTTATACAGGAAGATGAAAACCCTGCAAGATCTCTGTACAACTCT